CCTCCCCTTGGCCCCCGGAGCGCCCCGAGTTCGGGTGCTCCCGTTTTGTTTCGTTTCTGAATAAAGAAACAAGTTGGCAGCGGCTTTTGGGAGGCCGTATGGTGTAACAAAAGGCACTTTAAACTCATCCAGTCGCCAGCACTAATACTTTTAAATTTGTCCTCCGGGGTAGTTCTCTGTGGGGCAGGCAGTCTCTGCTGAGGTGGCAGGAGGGTCCCTGTCGCGACAGGGCGAATCGCGATAGCTCCTTCCCTGTGAGTACTGCCCAGAGGCGGCATTGGCCTCACAAGGATTAACAGAAAGTTAATTTTAACTTTTATGGACAAGGCGGTTCTTTTATAAGCATTTTCCTGAAGTGACCTGAAGTAAGAGGACACGGACGTGTCGCGTTGGTGCCCACCGTCCTACCATGGCACAGGCAGCGATGCCCTGGTGCTCACCTGAGCCGCACTGCGACTCTCAATGCCACAAAGAGACCTGGTTCAAATGGAGTTTGTAGAGTATAGGGAGAGACCATGTAACAGCTAGATTTATTTACAGGTGACCTCAGGACCTCCTAATTTTCTTCCTCTTCCCTGTTAGATTTTAAGTCGAGCCTGCCAAGATAAAGACTTTTAACTAGGTTTAATTCTTTGCAGTCTAATAGAGGACAATTTCAAGTATCTTATATTTTATTATGAAGTACCCTTGCAAGTTCAGAGGAGTAAACAGCTGTTGCAAATATGTATATATATATATTTACTTCACCTAATCTTCAGTCAGGAATTACACTTTTTCAAGTAGATGCCACTATTTTTTTTTTCTCAAAGTGCGTAGGCAATAAGCTCTGGAACAAAAATTTCGGTTCCTAATGTGCAAACCCAGAACCTTGCCAAGGCACTATCTTTCCTTCCTGAAACGAAAAATCATTACGAGATAGCATTGATGTGAGCATGCATCCGGCATTCAAAAAATAAAAAAATAATAGTAGCGATTTGAATGCACCCACTTTCAACATCCCGAAGCAACCTCGGCTGCAACCTGAACCTCAGAGTTCCTGCCGCTAATGCAGTCCGCAGGGCTGGACAGGAGCAGGCCTGAAGTGGAGCCTGCACGTGCGTCAACGTGGAAGGCAGGAGCTCAGGCTCGCTTCTGTTTCCGCAGCTGCCTGCCTGTGGGTCATGCTCAGTGCTCGAGCAGGCACTGCCGGAGGAAGATGGGCACATGAGTTCCAACTC